TTCTTCAGGCTTGGGTATTTAAATTTATAAGTAATGATGAAAGCTAAATAATGAATAAAAATCCACTCATCCAAATTGATAGTAACAAAGTATCTAACCATATAAATTCAAGAATCTAAGGCATCTTTTGCAATCTATTTTAGAAATAGTTTTCTATCCTCCAAAAAAATAACAAAAAATATATTTAGTAACATGTTTTTAAAAAATATTTGAAAAACAAAACAGAAAATATTTTTATACAAAATAAAAAAACAAAAACATCTTTTAAGTATTTTGAGATAATTATTTTGAAAAAACAAGAGAGAATGTGAAAAACTAGGGCTTGTTTGTTTCCTATTTTTAAATTTTTTTTTTTTGCTTTTGAAAACATAAAAACACTTTGAAACTTGTTTGCATAAGTATTTTTTATTTAATTATTTTTAAAATTATTTTTATTGTTTATTTTTAAAAACAACAAATAGAAACAACTTTAAGTTGTTTTTGTTTTTTTTTTTTCATTTTTAAAATACAATATATTTTATTATTGAAAATTATAGTTGCCTTAATCAATTATTATTATTAATCACTATTATTAACTGCTTATAACTAGATAGTTTATTTTTTAATTCCAAAATTATTTTTTAATTGATATAACCGAACAAAGTTCTTTTATTTTGTTTTAAAAACAATTTTAAAAGTTATAATACAAAACAGTTTTTAAAAATAAAAATTGAACGCAAAAACCAAACAACCCCTAATTTCCTTTAAAATTTAGTAAAATACTTACATCTTAAAACATGAATTTTTTTTTGAAAAAAAAAAATCTTATAATATGAACAGATGGAACATTTATTATATTCTTTTTATCATCACTAAACAGTATTTTGTCTCTTAATACCTTTATTTTTAATTTAGGGACATAAAAGACAATTCAAATATATAAAATATATGTATTCAAAGTGAGATCCTAGAGGATTATCATGATAAGATGGCACACCAACGTGATCTTCATATTCTGAATGGCCTCTTTCAACACCATCAAATGAACTTCAATAAAACCTTAAAAACATTAATTTCTGTAACATCACATTCTTGCCTGTTCATGGAAAGCATTCTACTTTCATGTTTTGGTCACGGAATTCACAATACAGGTTGCTGCCAAGTGTCAACTGCTTTTTTCTTCCCCTTCCCTTACGTTCATGGCACTTAACCTTATGCTTAACTTACCAAATTAATTACCCATTAATACATTGATAGAGTTAGGGAGCTATACATGACAACTCCAAAATTGAAATGCATCATCTCCCGTATCCATCAAAACTGCGTCGAGTTTCACGTTCCACTAAAATCATGATTTTGATAATTTTCAACGTGAAACAACATAAATTAACTTTTTTTTCCCAGTTCCTCTCTACCTGGTACATCTCCATTATTACGTGAGATTTGGATGATTCGAATCTTATGGTTAATTAAACTACTATTACAATATTAAATCATGAACAAATAACCAAATATAAAATAAAATCAATAATAAATCATAATATTTAAAAAATCATAAACGACATAATACAGGTGAGAGTCTCAATCAAGTTTCCGGGTTAGGACCATGTTTTTTGTTTTGTTTTTAGTTTTATTTTTTTGGATAGAAGACCATGTTCTTGTTTTATTATTTAATCTAAAATGTTTTAAAAAAATTGTCATCTTCATTGTTGTTGGGCAAACTTGGAGCTGGAGCTAAGTGAGGGCAGGTAACCCTTTTAGTTTCTTAAAACATGTATTGAATTCAATATCATTCCAAAAACAACAACAACAACAAACCTTTATCCCACTAGGTGGGGTCGGTTACATGGATTGTAAGACGCCATTGTGCTCTATCATTTATTAAGCTTTTAGAAATATTATTAATTAAGAGATTACGTTCAACAACTTCCAAGAGTGTTCTCTTAGGCCTTCCTCTACCTCTCTTAATCGGACTCAAAGTTATATGTTCCACTCTTCTCACTGGTGCCTCCCTTGGTCTTCTTTGTACATGCCCAAACCATTTCAACCGATTTTCTACCATTTTTTCCTCAATAGGTGCCACCCTCACTTTTTCACGTATGTGCTCATTTTGAATTTTATCTTTACGTGTATGTCCGCACATCCATCGTAACATTCTCATCTCTGCTACTCCAACTTTATGCTCTTGCTGTCCCGTTAGAGCCCAGCATTCACTACTATATAACATTGCCGGTCTGATAGCAGTACGATAAAACTTTCCTTTAAGTTTATTAGGCACCTTACGGTCACAAATAACTCCTTTAGCTTTTCTCCAATTAAACCACCCAGCTTGAATTCTATGTGAAATATCTCCACTGATTTCGCCATCATTTTGAATAATGGCTCCCAAATATCTAAACTTTTCCACTTGAGGTATGATTTGATCTCTCAATTTCACTTCCAAATTATTTTCGAATAGTCCTTTACCAAATTTACAATATAAATATTCCGTCTTACTTCTACTCAGACGAAAACCTTTCGACTCCAATGTCCTCCTCCATAACTCAAGTTTGCAATTAACCTCTTCTCTTGTCTCTGCTATAAGAACTATATCATCCGCGAAGAGCATACATTTCAGGATTTCCTCTTGAATATGTTCCGTCAAAACATTTAAAATCAAGTTGAACAAATAAGGACTCAGAGATGATCCCTGATGTAGTCCAATCTTTATAGGAAAATCCTTTGTTTGACCACTAGGCGTTCTTATACTAGTTTTTACCCCCTCATACATATCTTGTATGGCTTTAATATAAGCAATCCGTACTCCCTTTTTTTCCAACGCTTTCCAAAGCACTTCTCTTGGTATACGGTCATAAGTTTTTTCCAAATCAATAAAAACCATGTGTAGATCTTTATCTTTACAACGATACTTTTCCATTAATCCCCTTAGTAGATAAATTGCCTCTGTAGTTGATCTACCTGGCATAAAACCAAATTGATTCTCAGAAATACTTGTCTCCAATCTCAACCTGTGCTCAATTACTTTCTCCCACAATTTCATTATGTGGCTCATGAGTTTAATCCCTCTATAGTTAGTACAATTCTGAATATCTCCTTTATTTTTATAAATAGGAATTAATGTACTTCTCCTCCACTCATCAGGCATTTTCTTGGACCGTAAAATCACATTAAATAACTTAGTTAACCATCTCACCCCTTCTTCACCTAAACATTTCCACGCTTCGATAGATATACAATCAGGTCCGTTAGCTCTACCATTTGCCATTTTCTTAAGAGCTTCCTTTACCTCCTTATCACGTATTTTTCGATAGAATGACAAATTTTGTTCTCCTTCACCAGTTACTAAATCCTCCAAGTTACTAGATGAATCCTCTCCATCATTGAAAAGTTTAGAAAAATAAGTCTCCCATCTATTTTTAATTTCATCATCTGTAACTAAAATTCTTCCCTCTTCATCCTTAATACACCTTACCTGTTCTAGATCTCTTGATTTTCTTTCCCTACTCTTGGCAATCTTATAAATATTTTGCTCTCCTTCCTTCGTCTCAAGGTTCTTATAAAATTCTTCAAAAGCTTTGGAACGAGCTTCACCCACAGCTCTCTTAGTTTCCTTCTTAGCCATACGGTACCTCTCCCAATTTTCCTCATTGTTACACAAATGTATGGCTTTAAAACAGTTCTTCTTATACTTGATTTTGTCCTGTACACTATTATTCCACCACCAAGACTCCTTATCTCTCGGACCAGAACCTTTCGATTCTCCCAAAACTACTTTTGCAACCTCTCGTATCTTTTTAGTCATATCCTCCCATATGATGTTAGCACTTCCCTGAGAATCCCAAATTCCTTTATCCAAAAGATTTCGCTTGAAAATATCTTGCTTCTCACCTTTTAATTGCCACCACCTAATCTTTGGTGTTACTACTTGTCGACGTTTTTGGATTTTACTCATAATACACACATCAAGGACTAGGACCCTATGTTGTGTCGTTACAGCATCTCCAGGGATCACCTTACAATTTTTACAAAGTTTTCTATCTGTGTTCCTAACCAAAAGAAAATCAATCTGCGACCTTGAGGCTCCACTTTTGTAAGTGATGAGATGCTCATCTCTCTTCTTGAAACAAGTGTTGGCAATCTTAAAATTATACGCCAATGAGAAATCAAGAAGAGTTTGCCCTTCATTGTTTAGCTCTCCAAAACCAAAACCACCATGCACCCTCGCATACTGACCAGCTTCCCTCCCGACATGCCCATTAAAGTCTCCTCCAATAAAAATCTTTTCACTCTGTGGTATGTGTCGAATCAACCCCTCCAGATCCTCCCAAAATAATTCCTTAAGACTGACTTCTGTCCCGACTTGCGGCGCATAAGCGCTAACAATATTAACAATCTCACGTCCAATTATCATTTTTAAAGAAATAATTCTGTCTCCAATTCTTCTAACTTCTACAACGTTCTTCTTCCACTCCTTATCTATAATGATGCCTACTCCATTGCGTGCACTTACTTTTCCTGTATACCAAAGTTTGAAACCTTGAATATCCTTAGCTCCTTCTCCACGCCATTTTGTTTCTTGCAAGCAAAGGATATTGATTTTCCTTTGAATCATAAGCCCTACAACCTCTACAGATTTACAATTTAATGTCCCAACATTCCAAGTACCAAATCTAATTTTGCTCTTATGGACTAACTTCTTTAGCCGCGTGCGTCCAGAATGACGCGGTAGCCCTTGCTCATTTAACACTACATCCGGGCGCCGATGCAGCGGCTCTAACTCACTTATCACTGTACTCGAGCCATGCAGCGCGTTACTTACGGGCAACGACCTAGCATTAACATTATAACGTCTATTGTCCATGTTCATGATAGATTCAATAAATTTTTACATTGGCTGTTGATGGCCTAACACAACCCTCCTTTACCCGGGCTTGGGACCGGCTATAAACATAGGCGGAGTTAATTCAATATCATTCCAAACAAAAACCAAATTTAAAAGTAACATTTACATTGCAACATGCTTCTTCTGAGTAGGAACCATCTACGATTTTGATAATCAGGAAAAAATTATCCAGCATAACTTTTTCCATTTGCATGTTTACTTCCTCAAAACAGTTAAATTTAAACTGCAAACTGCAATTAAAAAAAAAATTAAGCAGACAAATCCTTTATAGGACCAAACACAGCGCATGCAAGTATGCACATATTATTCCATTAATTAATAATTAATGGTTGGGTTACATTCAAACATTTTGCAGTATTTTTACTTGGGGTTTGATGCCTGTATTCCATGACGCTTAAAAAATTCTCTAAATCCATAAGCACTGAGATCGTAGTTAAACTGCACACCCATAGATAAATGAAATTTTTGTGAAGCTCATCAGTATTCTACAGCTGTAGATAAATATAACAAACTTTCATTCGGTTATTTCATGCAGGCACTTGCAATTAGATCTTCTACATTCACAATACTAAATGCATATAGTGGATGTGAAGAAAGATTAAAACAATATACTCTCCCATTCCAAATTATAAAACACTTTCAAATAAAATCACACATATCAATAAAACTCATTAAATATACTTTACAACTTTATTTTTTTCAAAACAAAAATATAAACTTTCAAAAATGCTCTTCATTTAATATTTCATGTATGAAGGAATATTAAATAGAAAATATAATGGGAAGGGCAAAATTGAAAAAGCATTATTAATGAAACCTTATTTTTGTTAAAGTGTCTAATATTTTGAAATGCCGAATCTCCTTCAAAAGTATCAATGTGGAATGGAGGGAGTAGATTATAAATGAGAACCCCATACATAATCACATTCTTTTATACTGCCCTTTTTTGCATCCAAATGCATAGCTATCTGAATGTAGAAGACCTAATTTGGATATTATGAAGAGTCAATAACAGAACTGATTTATAAACAAGCTGAAAACTTACAGGCAAGACCTTCACGTTGTATTTCGTGACATTTGGATCAGCCATCCTTCCCTGGCCAGCTGCCTGTATAGAAAAACTAAGTCAATAAGAGTTTTAATGGACAAGTAATCACTTCAAAGATTAGCCTATTAAAAGAAGATATGATAGCAGCAGAACATGCTTTCTGGTTGATCGAGTCATGGAATGGATCCATTAGACCATTACAATCTCTTCTCATGAGACTTCGAGACACAGCAGTAAGATTGTAGTGAACAAGGTGAGGTGTACCATACTTGTTGTGGGCTGTGAAATATTTCAATAAATGGATACTCCTTTCTCTGCCGTGTTATGCAAAATCCAGGATATTTTGGACACTCAACCTGGAAAATAGTAGGACATAATCATTTCATCAATTCATGGTAAAAATCTAGACTATGCAGAAAAGTATAGTAAATGGGAAGAAGGATTCTGCCGGCAAAAACCCTAGAAAATAAGAATCAAAACCCAGTAGGCAAAAGAGAGAGGGTGATTTGACAAAGACTACACTCCTTGAAAGTAAAATAACAACTAAAAGAAAGCTAATCAGTACGTCAATGCGTCATCTATATGTTTTTGTGTTTCCATCAATAGAGAAGTGAATAATATGCTTTATAAAGTGTTATGTCATCAAGTTTCAACACTAACAATTGACCAATAACAACTTACACGCATAAATTTAATATGTGGATAAAACTCGGCAGCAGCTTCTTCCAATACTTTGTCAAGATGTTTCGTATAGTTGCCCCTGCAATATAATAATTAGCTTTTAGTTATTCCAAAATATTTTTCGTTTTTCTCATTTTGTCCTCAATTTTGGACCTAAAGTCAACTACAAGTTAGTTTGAAACAACAAAAAGTTCGCGGCTAACTCTACCTTATAGTAAATGCAACAACAACAGGATAACCTTCATGAAGGAGCTGGACAAACTCACGCTCTGAGGTAAAATGAACAACCCTTGATGGTCCAAGATCCTTTGGATAGCCAGTATAATACCTACAATCACCACAAGAAAATTTTCATCAAATGAAAGAGAAACTTGAGGCTTTCAACAAAATAGAAAAGGGAAACATTGGGGGGTGGGGGTTCAAGAGAATTAGCATGTTGGTACCTTATTAGAGACAGAAAACATTCTATAGCAGTGAAATTAATGAAAGGCAGACAGTCAAGTGAGACAACTTTACAACAAAGAGACATTGGCAGGTGCATTGAGCACAGTTTTAATTAAGCATCAGATATGGGAGGTCATACTTGCATGTTGTCCGAAGTTGACTGATCATACGATCAAAAAATGACGAGTCAGATGAATCAGCCATTGCACAGTAAGGTCATGCACAAGATTCAATTATGTAGTTCCTGCAACATAAATATCATATTTGAGTAGACAACAAAGTATTAATTCACCCTACTCTCAGCTTTTAGCTCAGTAAAATAATTAAGTACAAAATGCTCTAACAATACAAGATGATATTGCAACACCATATCTCGGAATTAGTTTTGCTTGTCTCAACTGTCTTTTTGAACAGCTTGAAGATCAGTAAGTGAAAATGTAACTTCAGTGAAATTTGGCTTTCAAAGAAAAGTGAAATTGGACTTTCATTGAAAAGACAGAAGCATGAGTAAAACGCATCTACTCAGTTTTATTTGAGTAGAGGAGAAATTCATGCATGCAAATATTGCTGGGTAACTATCACTTTGCTTAACAATGCTAAGGAATATTTTATATGATTGGTAAATTGGTTTCATATGGAGCATTGTCTATTCTTAAATCAAAATTTTCCATTTTCTTAAAGTATCATATTCAACAAGAGGACCATGAAACCCAAGGCCAGGCATCTATGCCAAGGAATCCCAACCCACCCCAAAACAAAAAAAAAAAAAAAACCTCTTCTCAAGCCTTTTGTAGATCAGCTATGGAGCATCATGCCATGATGTCAAAGCACAGCCTAAACAAAGGCATGAAACACTATCTTATGATAAAATAAAAGCACAAGACATCCTATCAAACTAGTTTAATGCATAATACTAAAATCTAAACAAATTTAAGAAAAAATAAACTGCATAATGGGGGGAAAATAAATTGTACATTTGTACCGCATAAATTGATGCCATGATCAACTTTTATTCCTAGTTTCAGAGATGTACTATGCACGTTGAGTGCAGTCAAATATATGCGAAAACACTGAAGTATAGATTTAAGAACCGAGATAGCTTGGGCTCCCATGCACAGTCACTGGTAACTGAAAAGAAATGAAGGCAAATTGCAACTCTTTGAAACCCTAACAGATGCAGGAAGAGTACAGCAAAGCTGCATCTTCTAAACCTTTTCAGTCGAAGTACGCCCTTGCATCAGCACTTTCTTCTCCTTTCTTTTCTCTTTTGTTCGATAAAGGTTGAACACCGAAGGATTGTCTATGGCATTGCCAAGTTATTCAACAAGTAACCAACCACCTATCACTTGATTTGGGTGGTCCATTGGCGTTTGTTTTTTCCAGGTTCATTATTAGGTTTTTGTACATGCTATACTTTGCTCTAAGTTCTTGAATGAATGAGTTCCAGTTTCTTATTGAAAAAAAAAAAAAAAGTTATTCAACTAGTTCCAATCAAATTCAGAATACTAAAACAGAAATCACTCAAAATCAACCGTATATGGGACAAAATAAGAAGCTCATATTCGCAGCACGCCAAGGACATAAGCCATACGACTGGAATAATACCACCACTAATGGTTTAAGAACTAAAATAGGAAGCTGATGTTCCCTCCAAACATGGAAGCCAGCCAGCATATTAACACCTAGACTCAGGAATTAAAGCCGGGGGAGTATATTCCACACATTTAACAGAAAAGACATGCTAATACCAACACGCCTGGCCAGGAATTTAAAAGGAAGTAAGGTTTCTGGAATGGGAGAGACAGATTCTGAAAATTACCTCTGTAGCTCACCGCCGAGAGGTCCAACTCGACCAGCTGCAACGGACGGCTTGCAAGAAGTTGAAGACGGCGAGAAGGCAGCGCCGGATCGTCTCGTATGTTCTCTCTATACGATTATTGATCGGCGTTCCTCGTGAGGATTCGAGCGCGTGAACTGATGAGTGTTTCTGGAAGCATGTGTGCGATGCTGGGCAAATCGAGAGTTGGGGAAGGACGATGAAACCGGTAAAGGATTTTAGGTTTAAAAAAATGCCAAAAAATATTATGACTTTTTTTTTTTTGCCAAAAACATATTATTACCTTAAAATGTAATTTTTTATACATGGTTTTTTTTAAAGAATTACATTAAAGGAACTGAAAAAAAAAATTATTCACAAATAAAAATTAATATTAATAAATTTATGTTTTCATTTTAATAACATTTTATTTTATATTAATTCTTGTTTGCAAATAATTGTCTCCTCAAAGCCTTGATAATATTCTTAATAGTTTTTTAAACCGTTAATATCAGCTTTTCTAATTAAATTAAATTATTTTAAATATTACAAAATCCGAAAATAATGAGTTTGATGATTACATTATAACACTTGGAAATGATTAAGGAGAGATCGAAATTAGTGAAATGTACATTTATTTATGATCCTCCATGTCTAGGTACTGTGCTATCTATGATTCTTTATTCATATTCATATTATAATAAAATAAATGTAGGGATTATTTCAATTTTCAAGAGATATTGTTTAATAAGAACTTCTCACAATGGACTGAAACATTAATTAAATCAAAAGCTAATCACAGTCTTGCTCACCCGTGAATAACAACAACTTAAAATAAAAATTCAAAATTAATAAAAAATAATGAAATTTTATGCACACAGGTATCAAAGAAACTATACAAAAGAAATAAATATATAGACAATAAAAAGAAGACGTGACCGAAATAAACTGTTTCTGCGATCTACCAAAATATCAAGGCCCAATCCTCAATATGAGCCCAATTAATTACTAAGCGTAGATCCAAACATGAGAATTTCAGGCCCAGACAAATAAAGCCGTGTTCCCTTTATGCTAAGACATGGAAAACTATATATAAATATATAAGGTCATGTTTGGTTGGTTGAAATTGTGAAGATAGAAATGAAATTGGGATAGGAATCTGAATAAAGTGATGTTTGGTAGATATGAATTACAATTCTTGAGAATCCTGATTCTATGAAAAGAGGCTGAATTGAATTCCTTATTTGAAGCTATAGAATTGGGAGCAATTCTATAGAATTGTAATATTTAAGACACTTTGCCCTCATACAAATTCCAGAAAGACAAATTTGCCCTCAAAAAATATAAAACCCTCACCTCACTCCTGGTTCCTAATATTTTTGCTCATTATATATAAAAAATTATAATATATATATAAGATAGTATTATATATAATATTTATATATAATTTATATATTTATAATATTTTTTGTAAAATATTTTACTGGATTTTTTATTATTTAAGAAGGGAAACTTTTGATTTTCTTGTATTTTCTTGCTACCTTTATTAAATGTTTTTACTGGTACACAATTAAGTTTTTATTATGTTTTATTTTAAATTTTATATAGGAGTATTTTTGTCTTTTAAGTATAATTTCATTTCCATCTCTTGCATACCAAACAAAAGTAATGCAAGGATTCCATCTAATTTTTCTGACATACCAAACATACTTTTATAATTCAATTCTATTTCAATTCTGATTACAATTCCAATTCCAATTCCATCAACAACTATTCAATCATACCAAATGGGACCTAAAAGATATGAATAACTAGCTTCTCTTGTTAGTTTTTAATTTACTATTTACATCCCATAGATAACTTGACTATAGCCCTCTATAATTTTTTATTATATTACTATCCTTTTTATCTCTTCTCTCTATTGTTCTAATTTTTTACCAAAACTTTTGCTCCAATCAATATATCATTTAGTTAAAAAGTTTCTATCGAGTTATCATAAAAAAAAAGTGGCAATTATTAGTTTATTGCCTTAATTGCATAGAAAAGAAATATGGTAAGTGAAAAAAAATAGGGAAGCATCAAATTGTAAAAGCACATAACATATCCTTTTGTATATATATTTAAATGGCTCTCCTCTTTAGAGGCTTAACTGATCTGGCAAATGAATTTTTTTATTAAGGTTTTTATGTAATGCCAAAGGTTTCCATAAGTAATATTGAGTCCCAACTATTTGTAGCATCGATAGAAAATTTGATTTGAGTCATGTTTGAAAACACTATTTTTGAGAGTTATTTTATCACACACAATAAAAAATGTGATAAGTACTCTTTAAAATTAAACAAACACTTCATGTTTCTTGTTTATTAAAGTTGATAGATTCATTAACATTGTCTATGTTCTTTAATTGAATAATTATTAAAATACGGACTAATTTTATTTAGGTGTTACAAAGAATCAATTCAGACACGGCACAATATCCACTGCTTTACAAAGTCTAAAAGATAAATTAAAACATAATTTTCATTAAAATAAAATGATAAATTAAACTATTTAAAATCACTGTGATAAATTTTCTATTTTAGTTTCAGTGAACTGAATACTAACAGTCATCCCATTCGTGGTTATACAACACATTGGTATTGATTATTTATATAAATTAATTTTAATTATTAATTAGTATTTCTTGTTAGCAAGGGATAAAAAAGGCACATTACCAAAACATTGATGGATCTCTAACAAGGGACAAGGTGGTAGAGTAGATGTGATGTGAGAAAACTTTCTCCAGAGAGGATCACAAGGAGAGAGATATAACATTTCTTTAAGAGCACAACACTTGTGAATCAGCACTTGTAATATTGTATAATGGGTATGAAACTTTAGTTTTTGATTTTGGATTTTGATTTTGGCATTAGCTTCTTCACTTATATTTAAAAAGACACTGTATAAGAATGATTAAATTTAGATCCACCTTTGTTAAATTGTTTTTTTTTTTAAATTTGATATTCATCTCACATAAAAACTATGTTATTAATGAAGAGCTTAGGAAATCATAGGCACTTAACCACAAAGTTTGAGATTTGGATTCAGTGAATGTATTTAATACATGTATTGAGTGTCTATATCATCTGAGTCGTTGAAATTCATATCAATTATTCATATAAATTCACTTATTTATTAATATCAAGTGAAGTATAAATTTATAACTATTGATTGTTGGTATAGACATTTATCATTGCATACATTAATTGTAGTCACTGAATTCAAATCTCAAAGTTTAATGTTTAAGTTTGTGAAAATGCAAAAAACATTATTAAAAAAGCTATTTTTAGTTAGATTCGACGATACTTAAGTCTAACATAATGTGTGTGCGTGTTCCTTCAAATATAGTTGCAAAATTAGAAAGGAGGAATGACCCATAGTTAAGGTGGCCTTTCTCGAACATAATATAATAATATGTGATCTTCATATATATTAAAATTGAATTGATAATAATCTTATTTTTAAAAATACTTTATGAGATGAATCATCAAAAATAATATCTACAACTTGCAGGTTGTAGCTCTTCTCCTACTTATGGTCCCTAGACTAGATGCTAGCTAATGCATAATTGATCATTCTTTTGTCAGATTGACATTGACATATTCCCCGACTCTATGAAGATAAAGTACTTTGAAGTGTTCAGATTTTACTATAATCAGATTGAATTTCATGTGTTTATATAAATGAATAGAGCTAGTCAAAGTTGTCTGAATAAAATGACATATTGTACCCCCATATGTATATATTATTAAATTTACTGATATTGATAAATCAAATTATCCAAGTTTAATTTTGAAGATTAAGATGCCATAACCTGGACTGGACCACATGGGATATGATCCAAAAATGATCAAAGTTAAATCAAACTCCAACCAATTTAGGTTGCAGTCACACTCAAGCAGGCTCATTTTGCAGGAATTATCCATTTTTCTCACACTTTTTTAATCAAAAGTCATGGTAACCAGCAACAAAGTCAACTCATCGCAAAATTCAATAAATTCATGCATCTTAAATGTGGATCAATAAAAAAACAAACAAACTTTGATGTCTAAAAATTTGTCTGAAGCCTGATTAGCAAAATAGTTAGTTTGTTTTCTTACAACACAATTTATCATAAAAAGATCTTTAATATTCTGGAAAAATTAGTTTTAAATGAGCATGAGGGTTTCAAGAAAGTTAAAGTGCATTGTAATGGAGGGAACTCTGCAAATCTTGACCACTAGATTGGATTTAATGATCAAGATTTGGTAGTTTAAAAAAAATATAAATTTATTTGTATCATTAAAATTTAACTTGAACTATTCAGATCTACATTCGAGGTATCAAGGATGGAAAATATAGCGGAAAAACTAAGTCCATAGATGTTTACTTTAGAACAACTTTGTCTTTTCAATAAAGGATGTTCTTCTTACCATCTCAAGTAAAACCTTCACAAGCCAGTGTATCATTAATGTTGATCGAACCATCTTTATTCAATCTAACCTAGCCTAGTTCAATTGGCATCATTTGCACGTGATTTTCTTGGATGAAAAATCAAGGAGTTCATTCTTGATTCATATGTGACGTTGCTGGTAATGTTCTGAATACTACTGAAAACAATGTTCTCGCACTTTAAACATGTAGTTGGGATTTAATTCTTAATCTTTATATATAAGGAAAACTTGATTAAGATATCTATTTTCTTATATCCTAAAAATTTAGTTTTGGTCCTTAGTATTCTTCATATTAAATATTAGTCACTTTACAAGAAAGAGAAAGAGAAAGGAGGATTAGCAAAGGTCATGAACCCTTTTTTTAAACTTTTTTTTAAAAAAAAACTTTTTATTAGTGTTTTATAGGCTGATAATGTTTACCTCCAAAAATTTATACAAATATCATATATACTTTTCGATCTTTGCCCCTTACAATTAAATATAATTATTTCATTTCGAAAGAAGATAAAACATTGGAAATATGTTTTATCCTTAAAAAATATGTCAATTTTTTTATATTTAATATGCTTATGATGGACAATATTAAAAGTTATTAGATTTTTATAAAAAAAATTTAAGGATGCAGTTTATTTTTAATTTTTTTACATATATGTATATGTGAATCAGTGAAATAGCTTTTGTCCCTAATTATAAGTCCCATGCAGCTTTTAGATTTTGTGTCTCCAATCATATGTC